CCCCCAAGTGACTGTGCCCGCAGTGCAGCTTTGTTGACACCTGCGATACACCGAGAGGCCGAGTCACGCGGGGTCACCCGGACGCATTGTTCTAAGGACGTACCGTTACCAGTAACCGTGTTTTTTGACGTTATGATATTTATAGTTCAGAAAAATTACGTCAAAAGGTCAAAACGAAGCAGGACGCAGTGTCTTTGCTTCAAAATATTCAATAAAGCTATTCTCCCAAAGACATGTACAGAGACCTTTTGAATGCAAACGAAATGGACTGTTTGACAAATCAAAGCAATTCGTCTTCGAGAATTGTTTAAAATTTTGCTAGTAATAGTGCTATTTCGAAACAAAAGAACAAATTACGTCTGACGAAAAAGGTTTATGTTCAATGTTACCTTTATTTATATTATATATGCGAGCTGTAGTATACAATGAAATAATATGACCCCATTCACTGAAATAATATGTGAAGACTTCAAACGTTGAATTCGTTTTTCAAGTCTCGTCCACGATGTTTTCCTTTTATGCTTACAGATCGTTGCTACATATCACAACTGGTAATGACTGTGCAGCTCGCCATTGTTGTCGTTGCTGCCGACCCATTATTCCGTCCCAGTGTTCTAATGATAAAGAGCACGGTCATTCTTTTCTTGACCATTCACAAAAGTAGACCAAATTGAACCTAGCCTTTTACATACAAATTACCACGTAAAGTGGACGTCATGATACGGTATACAATAGTTGGTCGGGTAGTGTTCTTGTAGTCATTCTCACGGTTTAGAGTGAGAACAAATATCAGAAACATGGTGCGTCAACTGCTTATGTTCGCCTTGGTTGTGGTGGCTGTCTTCGCACTAGAGAAGGTACGTCGTGGCGATTTATGTATATTATTGTGTCTTTGACTAGAAAAAAACAGCTGTATGATTTGTTTGTATGTACGGGAAAACTAGAGATCTCTGGGTTGTTAGGAGTATACGATACGACCCAGTGTAACGTTAAGAGGTAGTATTTGAGTCGAAGGCGTCGAAAGTACCAAGTTAAATATCGTAATATGTCATGATTTCTTTCGTTTCTGAACTCTGTTTCTCTATCAGTGAAAGTGGTACGCATGCGTAAAGTGTTTTTCTTACGTTTTCATTCTCAAACATGAATACCAGGTATTTTTCTGACTTCCGCCCCGGAGCTATGCCCTTCTTGCAAATGGAAAATCCCATTACAAGAACTGTTATTACTTTATTACGCGGGTGACGTACACGTATTTACGAGTGATGGCGTTTCGGAATATGCATTATAATCAGTACTCTGAGCATGGTATTTAGCCTGAAGGCCAGTAGCCGACACATAGGTAGACCAGTGCGTTGAATATAAGGAAAAGAGTATATCAGTGTCTCATGGCTAATTTTTCTGTTATGGTGTATCCTTTCTGTTACGAACTCGGTTCTCTAATCCTTTTCATCACATCCGGGGGTAAAACGTGTCATTATATTAGTATATATATATATCACAACCGAAGTTCGGATTTTGTGCGAAGTACATAAACATTAAGTGTGTGTATATAATGGACATTTCGTTCTTATTACCTCCATGGTTGTATATACTAGCTTAACTTAAAGCGGGGGAGTCGTCAGCTGCGCATGCGTCAGATGGCGTGTCATTGTTTACAAACAAGCGTCTACCCATGAGCCTGTGCGTTTTTAGCGTGTTGTTATCGTCGCTCGGGACTCCATTCCCGCGCGTGCGCAGGTGACGCTTTAATCATTGGTTAAAACTTAAGGACAGCATACTGTCTATGGTGAACGTAGGTTTTTGCTGACAGCGCATGACCTATATCATAATTATTTGTCGATTTTGTTCTGCGTGTAGCACAGCGTCATTGTAAGTCGTTCAAACAATACGGATCAACGGAACGTACAATACACCTGTTGTTGCTTCACGAATTTTACTTGTATAAATAACACAAATACGGTGACCAGTGTAACATACCTAGACAAAGGCATTGGATACGAAAGTAACTGATTTTAATGAGCATGTTTACGGCGGAAAAACTTCTTAAGATAAACTTACATTATTAAAACGTCATTGTTCACATTGAGCAACACGATGTATATACGGATTTTGTACAGGTCACTGGACATTCTACTCAGCATAATTCAAAAACATAATTTAGAAAGTGCTCTTTCACAGACTCAACAAACTGACAATTCTCAAAAACAAGTTTATCAATACATTGCTAGAATAAATATTATACTCGGTATATGGTATGAGAA